TACTCCTTTTCGAGTTTTCCTTAATTGTCTTATAGTTTCCCATTTTAAGAGGGGGTAGGCCAAAAAACCAAATGGTCGCATTTTCCGACCAAAGTTTGAGAGTGTGCGACTGAATTTTACATCCAGTCAAACGTGCGGCCAGTAAATTTGTCCCCCTTTTTTTGTAACGTTAAATCAGAGTTCAAATGCATTGTAATTTCTGCCTTTATTAGCATTTATTAGTAATACACTGGAAATTGAATTAGTAGAAATGTGAATATTTGGTTAGTATGTTGATTTACGGTGTGTGCTCCTACATTTTCTGGTTGTGCCCCTAAAATGTTCAGTTGGGGGCCACTGTTCTTCTAGTGAATAAGTTAGTCTGGAGCCCTGCCCCACATGAATAAACTGCAACCTTGGACTTTGGGACCTTTGTATCGTGCAAAAGGAAATGCCGAAGTTCCCTTTCCTTTACTCATTACTGTCCTTTCTTCCAAAGCCCTCATCTATTCAGTAGTCTTGGAATTGGACTTCATTTTCTTTAGTGGCACGGACAATACTTTTTCCAAGTCAAATTCAGAAGAGTAACACTTTTTTTAACCTAGAAATGCCACCACTGTGCTTACAAGTAGCCCACATTGACACAAAAAAACACTACAGAGTATGTCCTTACTAAGTGCTATACCTCCACTTCAACACACACTCTTATCAAGCTTTGATAACACATTAAAAACATAAAAACTCTGATTGAAAATGTTGTAAAAATTGCCCACTTACCTCCTGATGGCAAACTTCAAATTACGGGAAATCCTGGAAACTTAACTCAAGTATGTAGTCTTCAATTGTAGCTAGCATTTACCTGGTAAAGAGAGAACTTACCTAATGTTGCCAGTCAAGAAAGCTCTGGTAAAAGAACAACTGGAAAAGATGCTTAAAGCAGGAATTGTGGAAACATCATGCTCAGGTAGGGCCTCTCCAGTCGTTCTATAGTCGTTCTCCAGTCGAATGCCATAACAAAAAATGATGCTTACCCCAGGCGCAGTGATTTTCTCCACAGTAGACCTCAACATCGGTTATTGGCAAGTAAGAAAAAAAACTTTTTGGCTTAAGCCTTTTTGGCTTAATGCACCCGCAACTTTTCAACGGTAAATGGATACCATATTTGCGAGGAAAACTGTGTTTTGTCTACATTGATGATATAATCATCTATTCATCAGACCTAACTCAGCATTCACATGACCTCCAGACTGTCTATCACAGTCTACAAGAAGCGGGATTGACCATCAATTTAAGGAGAAGTCAATTTTGCCTCCAAGAAATTTAATTTCTGGGCCATGTAGTGAACACTCAAGGTATTATGGCAAAGTTGAGGCCATTTAGTCTTGTCCAGTACCCACCAACCTCAAATAGGTACAGTGGATTCTTGAACTAGCTGGATAGTACCATTGATTTGTTCCGGAACTTTTCCCATGGGTTTCCCTTGAGAACCCATTAATGTTCCAAATAAAGGTGGAAAACATTTTGGTCAGATCAATGTCAAAGGGCGTTTGAGCAGCTCAAGACAAGTCTGTCTTCACCCCCCATCCTTAGTCATCTAAATCTGCAACATCCCTTCACAGTATACACAGACTTTAGCAAAACACAGGCTTAGGAGCTGTGTTAACCCAAAGAAAAGAACAAGGGATGGCTTATGCATGCAGAAGCCTAAACCCAGCAGAAACAAACTACTCATTCACAGGGAACATAGAGTGTCTGCCAGTTGTCTGGACACTTGAGAAATGGCAGAACAATATTACATTGGAGAAGACAAAGTGTGCAAGAATATGGATGTAGTACTTATTTGTGCAAAATATAAACAGCTTGGAGTTTAGCTCATTCAACAGCATTTGTAGCAATGTCATTTTACAAAATAATACTAATAATAATCTTTAAACAAATATCTTGGTTTGTGAGGCACATGAATGGGATCAAACTTTGAAGGCCGTAGGGTCAGCCATCAAACACTGAACTGGACTAGATCCTAGATCATAACTAGACTAGAAGTTCAGGGACAGGGACAATGTAAGAAAACTGGATTATTTTTCACTTAAAGCAGTGTGAGTCTGGTTCTTTTAAAGAGGACTTAAGTGTGAAAACACACTAATATTATTGTAAAATATTATTGGCAATGTCACTGTCATCAGACTGCTCAATCGACCATGTGGAACGTAAATATCACTTTTAACTAATGGCGCTTTTCCACTGCATAGTACGGTACGGTTCGGTTCGGTACGGCTCACTTGTGGTGCTTTTCCACTGCATGGTACGGTACAGTACGGTTCGCTTCAGGTCGCTTTAAATGGTACCTGGTCTGTTGAGGTTCCAAGCGTACCGTACCGGTACTAAAATTTGAAACGCAAAGCGATCCGAACTGTTCGGCGCCGAGTTGAAGCGTACTGGGCCGAACCGTACCGTACTATGCAGTGGAAAAGCGCCTTAAACCTCTTTCCAGAGACCTTGGCCTTTTTTTAATTTACATTAGAGGTAATATATCTTATTATGGTCATTAACAAATAGATAAATCTTAAAAAAATATCTTTAATTTATTTGTTTGATGCATAAGGTTCTTCACCTTATTAGTTTCAGAAAAACAACAGTTTATCCTTCCATAAGATAACGTAACTCTTCCATAGCCACACTCAAAGTGCATAGGACGTGAAATACGATTAGGTTATTTCTTTTTCCATCCATGATGTGTTTTAGTAGTTGTGTTAGTTATACTTGTTTATCTTTTGTAAATACAAACTTATTTTATTACACGTGTCTTCCTTGTGCTGATAATACAGAAGAAACTCTTCTGCATGTTCTGGTGTGCTCATAACCACACCTTAAGTGATGTATGATCCAAAAAACACAATGTCAGCAGTGATTTGAAAAACCAAACACTACATAGAATGAGGTCATATAGCTTTGTGTGACAAGTACAGACCTTTAAATTAGTTACTCACTGATAACAGATCCTCCCCGCTCTATTGCAGCGGTTTTCCTTTCCTTTCCTTTTTGGGAGCAGTGTTGCCAGATCAGGTCGATGCTAACCCAAGTCATTCACTGCAAAAAGAATGCGAAATAATTTTACTGTCATGGCAACCAAGGTTAAAGTACCATTAACCTCCTTAAATACGAACTAATGATGACAAAATAAAATTATAAAAATTAATCAATCCTGCCAGGAGAACGATACAACAAGAAAACAGATTGAAACATGGCAAATTTAGTAAAAGAAAATTAGCAAATAACATAAAATCTTTCTACTATTAAAACTATTAAATATTCGCAAATGACAGTCAAGAAATTAGACATTAAACCTTTAAATTTACAACAATAATGACGCACTTACCTTTATGTTGCGCTTTAACTTCAAACAGAACTACTATGTCTTTCTTGAAGTAGGGTTTATGGAGCTAAAGGCACACTGGGATAAAAGGCCAATTTGACTATTGTCTTTTAAATCACTAGATCTAATCAAATCACGTTATATAAAAAAATAACGAAAATAATGAAATCTAATCAAATCACGTTATATAAAAAAATAACTTCAATAAATATATCAAAAGTGTCACTGGCAAAACCTTGTTATCTTCAATTATTAGTCTTAATTCCTCTAGACTTTACCAATGGAGGAAGTACTATCTTTCACTAAAGTAAAAGTAATACCATAATGAAAACATGTTAAATTGCGTATACTTTTACTTATTTACTTATAGGTAGTATTTTAAATAAGTCAGCAAAATGTACTAAACGTGAAACTACTCATTATGTAAAATGGCTTTATATAAAGTGTTATAATTACATAAATTATTGGAATATTTCTTTATGTTGTAACGTCAGGCAGAACGAGCTTTAACACTACGCGGGCGTTGTTGCTTGCGTCGCGACAGCTATTTACCCTGGACATCAGTTTACTTACTGTATCTCAAAGATTTGCTTTTTATCTTAATTTTCTGTGAACACGTTTAGCTAAAAAGATTGCCACTCCAGTTTAGCGTTTATTGTTGTTTATGCAGTTAAAAACACAAAGTAAACAATTCTGGCTATTTCGTTATTTTATTTCTTTTTTATTTATTGATCACTACTACACATTGTAGAACATAAAGCAGAACTTAGCACAGTCAAAATATATTAATCAATATTCAAACCTCTTTCAGCAGCTGCTGTCAGGGCCGAGAGGAGTGCAGTCCAGCGGTGTAAATTATTTTACAGATGTCGTCAGGCCGATGGACAGGTCGACCCATTTTCGATGTCAATTAATGTTAAATCATTCAACTGTGCTCTCGTATTTCGGCCTGGAGTCATCCCACTGGTGTAATTCACATTTTGGGAGTAGGATCACTCTTCCACTCTTTACTGTAGATTCAATTTATGATACTCACTTGAATAAAAGTTTCGCGCTAAAAGCAGTTAGTCAGTCAGTCAGTAGGTCTGCCTGCTGATCGCTGATTTAGCTAAAAGTACTTGCTCGTCAACGATGTCAACATACGTAATGCTGAATGATTTTATGAAATACATACAAATTATAAAATTAAGATGCTTTTAGTTGTTTTGTCCACCGGCTAGGCGCCTGACCACCAGTAGTTGTGACGTATCTCGTAACTATAGTAATGAGCGGAGCTCACCAATCATAACGTGCGTTTTTTAAATAAATTATCTAAATAGCTTTTATGTCATTGTATCTCAAATGAATGTTACATATATCTATAACAGTGCATATTACTCTATGATGCAGATACATAGATGGATATGAAACATAACAACATAATTTGAACTTTAAACTGTATGAACTTTGTGAGAGATGTGTATTGCTCATAAAAGAGAAATTCGTGCAAAATTTATAAATATATACAAATATTACAAAATTATAAATATATACTCACTCCATAATATCAAAATGAATTATTGAATTATTTTAGACTTTTTTTTGCGCTCAACTCCAGTCCAGTGGGAGGCGGAAATGCGCATTTACATTGGTCTTCCCAGCAGCCACCATTAAACACCAGCAGAAGAAGAAACATCCTGCAGAGTCAGACTGGTGTACGATTAAAAAGCTGGATGTTTATCGCATTATCTTCAATAAATGACATTGAAATATTGTTTCAATATTTTCACATGTCAACAGCATCATTGTACTTAAACTATTCATCGACTGAGCGGTAAGAGAGACACCTGAATTATTGACTTGCGGAAACACCTGTCGCCAGCTCATAATAACATCGGCAATAATAATAATAGCAAGCAACAATAATAATATGCATTTTATTGAATATATCTTTGATGTTACAGTATTACAGATGATTTACACCGCGGGTTTTATCAACACTGTTGTATTTCAGTTGGAGAGTTCAGCGTCTGAATGAATGAAGAGAGTTTGATTATCAGCTCTTCATTGAACACTAACTATCACAGCTGATAATGTTCACAGACATGGACTATGAGCTGGAAGAGGACAAACTGTGAGTATTCATTAAAAACCTGGAGCACATTAATATTGTTATATGATGTCACATCCTGTGAGGTTTCTATAAGAGTGTCATTGCATTGCATGTCATTAAATAGTGCAATTGCAGTTGAAAGAAAGAAGAGGAAAAACTCTTACAAGCAGATCATTTGACAATAAGATTATCCAACAGATCTAGTGTACACACAATGTAGATGGAGTATTTAACACACGTGTGTGTTGTTGTGTTGTGTCCAGTGGGATTCCTACAGTTCCTGGAACAGTGACTCTGAAGAAAGACTCACAGAACCTGATTGGGATCAGTATTGGGGGCGGCGCTCAGTTCTGCCCGTGTCTCTACATCGTACAGGTCAGACACATTAATAACAGGTCACACGTTCGCTCTCACTCGTCCTCTGACTGTGTTCGATGAGTATATGCATGTGTTTTTGGAGATACTCGATCATCAATCGCACGAGGTCCTCATCTAAATAATGTCCTTTACATCTGTTTTCTTGTCAAAGTGTAACGGAAAGCTAAGCTTATTTTAGGGCTGGGTATCGTCACAAATGATATGATTCAATTTATTCAAGTGGATATCAGGTACAGGAAAATAATGTGTCGCAGACAACTTCACAGACAACTCTATACATTACTATAGTATAAAACTGATATAAACATTTAAATTGCTAATAATAACTTAAATATAATCATAATCAAATACTTAACGATGGCTCTCATGAACACTATGATGGATTTATTCAAATATACATACAGCTAAAGAAAATATAATAAATATGTAATACATCAGAATGCTGCTCTCTGTAGTTATTTGTCTATAACTGTTGAGTTTATGTTCATTGAATGTCTTTCCTGAGGTAAATGCGTGACTGTAAATGTCTTTCCATGGCTGAAACTGATTGAGCAAGTACATGAGACTGGATTCACTGTATCCTTCGGCATCTCTTCCTTGCTGTAACTAGTAAAGTAGAAGAGATGATCGGTTCACGTGCCTCTTGAGCTGAGGGATCGAGTCACGCCACGTTAAAGAGACACTAAAACACATTTTGTGATTAAACTGACATAATTCGATCAAAAGTATCAAACCTTATCGTGATTATTGGATGGCAGGAGGTGCAAATATAGTTTTATTGACGCATCAGCTGAAAACACCACAGACTAAAAGATCGATTTTTTTTTAGTTTAGATTAAAGAATATATCGGTTCATCAAAATGAGAATCAAGAAATCAATATTTTCTACTTAACTTTTATATTAAAATCTCTATTTCTGGGGAGGATTGCCACACTCGTTTATGCCTTTAATGAATTTGCAGGTGTGGTTTATGAGTTATGATATGTGTGTGTAGGTGTTTGATAACACCCCGGCCGCTCTGGACGGGACTCTGGCCGCGGGAGACGAGATCACCGGAGTCAACGGCAAGCCTGTGAAAGGGAAGACTAAAGTGGAGGTGGCCAAGATGATCCAGACAGTGCAGGTGCGTTTACAAACAACTCTATTCACAATATCAAAGGAGATTTATGGATTATCATAATGTTTAAAAGTCACATTGAGCCGTTTAGAGCTGGACGATAGCATAGTTAACATTTGGAGACGATATAAACCATCAATCATCAGTCTTTATTAGGGTTGGGTATCGTTTGAATTTGAACGATTCTGATTCCGATTCCGATTCCTTGTTTCGATTCCGGTTCCTAACGATTCTCGATTCCGATTCTTTTAAGAGGCAGGGTCAAAAAAAGTTTAGCTAACCTTGCTAACCAACGGCCTTTCTGAAGGAAATAATCCTTTCTGAAGGAAATACTCCTTTCTGAAGGAAATACTCCTGTCACAAATACTCCTTTTGTCACAAATTTTGCATTTTGCCGAGATTTCGTTATTTTTAGAAAAGTGAAGCCACACTTTGGACCGCCGACGTAAGCTACTCATGTTCGACTCGTGCGGTTATGCCAACACTTCCGGTAGACGCTTCTTCGTTGGTGTTGTTCAGCGGTTTCTTCCTCCGCTCGGCGGACTGTGAATATCGAAACTAGGAATTGAAATTTTAACTTTTGAACGATTCCGGGAAAAACGAAAAATTAGTCCCGATTCCAATCGATACTCGATTCTCGATACCCTACCCTAGTCTTTATCATCTACAGCCCTCACACCAGAACGGCTCTTATTTGATGATTTGAAATGATTATTGATATCTTGAGTTATTCATACATGATCAGTTCACTCATTCAGTCTTTGGAAATCTCTTCGGGTTTTGCCGTAATACCGTTAAAATTTCACTGAAACGTCATTTCCAAAGTGTAATGTTTAACACATGTTCAGTATTAGATTTCCTGCTCATTTGTTGTTAATTGAGCACATTTATACTTTATGTGTGAAAATCTGTCATGTTTTACAGTTTTAATAGTGGATTTTTTTTTTATATGAATTGTTGTTTTATGAAATCCTGTCATTTGACTTGAAATTAAACTGCAGAGCATTACAAGAACCACGAGTGTTATTATCCATAGCCTGACATAACATTGACCCGAATATCATCAAACGAAATCCTCGGATGTGCTGATCGTCTGTGTCTGTCAGTAAATCGTGTGTGTTTTGTCCTTGTGAATGTGTTTGTTCTGCAGGGTGAAGTCGTGATCCAGTATAATAAACTGCAGGCCGACCCCAAGCAGGGCAAATCTCTGGACATCGGTAAACACTCACAGCAATACATATACATCGTGTTTGAATGGAGGGAGACGTACGGTTGTTTCAGAATTACATTCTATTTTTTCCCAGAATTATGTGTTCCGTTTAGATTTTTCGAATTGCATTTTAATATATCACTCATTCAAAGGCATGTCTAATCAATTGAATTCGTAAGACATTAACAATGTTTTAATAGTGTTGAAAAAATAATATATATTTCTCTCATCGTTTCTTCGGGTTAAAATGAACTTTCAGGCAGTTTGTAGTGAAGATATTTGAGTTTCTGTGTGTGTTTTGACTCTCTCTCTCTCTCTCTCTCTCTGTGTGTGTGTCAGTGCTGAAGAAGGTGAAGCATCGTCTGGTGGAAAACATGAGTTCAGGAACCGCAGACGCTCTGGGACTCAGCAGAGCCATTCTGTGCAATGGTCAGACACACACACTCTCTCTCTCTCTCACACACACACACACTCTTTTCACATTATTTATTAGTTATTTCACATTATAGTATTTTTTTTTTTTTGTTTTTTGCTTGGTTTGTTTGGGAACTCCATCATTGAGAGGATGGTCAGGTTCGTGTGTTTAGAAATAATCTGTGAAGTGTGTGTGTGTGTGTTTCAGACGGTCTGGTGAAGAGGCTGGAGGAGCTGGAGAAAACAGCTGAACTTTACAAAGGTCCCTCATTCACACTCATCCTGCATTAAACCAGTGACTGAGAGAGTTTCCTACAGGACTAACCTGAGTGTGCGTGTGTGTGTGTGTGTGTGTGTTTAGGGTTGATGGAGCACACGAAGAGACTCCTGAGAGCTTTCTATGAGCTCTCACACACTCACAGAGGTCAGATATCACACACACTCTCACACAGACAGGAGTTTACAGTGACAGAGAGACCAGTTTCAATAAAAATCTGTGTTTTTAGTGATCAAAAAGTGACTTTAGTGATATTGCCAAAGGCAAAAACAATGAAACTCGATGCAAATGAACACTATCACAAGCTGATAAGAGACAGATGATATGAAGATCGTTCTGCTTAAATTAAGAGTTTGCATGATGACCATCAATTGCATGAATTGCAACATTTTCCATTAATCTTGTTCATAATATGATGTAGTGTTGTCACGGTACCAAAATTTCAGTATTCGGTACCAATACCAGTTAAAATTCACGGTTCTCGGTACCAATTTCGGTACCAAAGCTTAGTTTAAATTTACATATATTTAAGTGTTTATCACGGTTACAAGTATGGAAACTGTACATTTGTATTATAAACACTTTAGAAAAAGATTAGATAAAATGACCTAAATAAACAAAAGTATACACTAACACATTTTAAAGTTGTTTGTAAAGTTTTAATCCATTATTTATTTAATGCACAATGAATTAAGTGAACAAACATGAAACAATCTGGTGTTTGTAATAAATAACATTTTCAAACATTAATTAATGTTGTAAAAATATATTGTTCACTCAATGTGTGATAACTAAGTAATGTTTGATGAATGGTATCTTTGTGCATTACCATAAAACATGTTTTATTTGACTTGACTGTCCTTTTATTTAATCTAAAAACTGCATTCATATTTAATTTTAAAAAGGCTTTTAAAACTGCTGAGTTATAAAGGCAAGAATACGCCTAGAACTGGCATTGACATTAAATGACAATACTAATACCATAGTACTCTGGTGTCGGTGAATACTAACTGTGCTCATGTACTCGTAAAACTACCCCGAAAGCACTTTAGAGGCCGTCACATGTCGCGCGTGTTTTTTTAATTATATTTTTGCGCGTGCTTATTCTTTCCAAAGCGCTTGCTCTCACGCGGCGTCTGTCGTTGCTATGCAACGCCAACGAGTTTTTATTATGAGTGCGCTTGAATCGCGCCTATATTTGAAATTGCGAATTTGCATGTAATCGGCCTCTTATGGCAACGTGACATTAGCCTAATCCAAAATATTTCCATATGTGGCTCTTTCCTCTTTTCGTTTCAACAAGTGGATTCAGAGAGAGAGCATATCAGTGTTATGAAGAGGACGCAACTGTGCACGTTTCAGACATCGCGTCCAGAACAGAACTGGATTAACCTGGTACTCGGTACCTAGAAAAGCTGGTACCGTAACATTTTGTTTTTTTTTAGTACCGACTTGGTACCGAAGTACCGAGTTTTTTGACAACACTAATGTGATGTATATACACAGTTGCTGTTTATATACACTTTCCTGCAGAACGTTCATTTTATAGACAAGAAAAGTGGTTCGCTGTTAAATAATACAACTACCACGTTAATACTATGTATGAACTATGTTCATTTTGTCCATAATGTTGCATTTTATTTCCACTCTAAGGCCGTGTGTCCACCAAAGCGTTTTCCCACTCGCATTGCGTATGTTTTCACTTGTTTTCAATGGGAGCGCCACGTTTTTTAAACGCCATGAGCGTAACGAGGC